ATTGAGGATAAAAATAAGCGTCGAAAATAAATATTAGATAAAGCTGATATCTATGAAGAAAGTTGTAGTGGTTGAAACAAGGATTCCGAAGATATAAAGAATACCGAAATCCGAGTTATAACAAAGAAGTTATGACATGTCGAAGTTTCGCGACAGAACCGACACGACGTTGTGTGACGTAAAAAGTGAATTGACGATAAAATGTTTTTTAGCCTTAGCGATCTAAATGAAAGTCGTAGTATATGTTAAACCGAGTATAATCTCACCTACACGTGGATATAAAGAACGTAAAAAATGGAGCCCATATGCAAAAGATATGAGTTTTTGAAGTTTTAAATATGAAATTCGAGGCTTATCCGAAGCCGTACGCCCAACGTACGAGTTTACGCCCCGCGTACTCGGACTAGATCAGAAGTTGGCCACGTCGCCTCTTTCTTCGGTCAGAAGTTGGCCACGTCGCCTCTTTCTTCCCAGAAATGGTTGCTAATTGTCTCTCTCTTTCACTCTCTATACCCTCTCAAGCCATCTTAAAACACTCCGAAGCCTCGGGAACACCCGAAGAAAGCTCGGAGCCCCGAAGTCTCCAAGAAAAAGAGTTTTTCGAGTCAAAACTCTACCCGTGTGAAGGCCGGTTTTTCAGAAAACATCCCGGTTTCATCGAAAAAGATTGTTTTAAGGGACGAAGTGTTGTCCAATCACCATCTTATCAGGTGAGTGTATAGTCACTTTCATCTTACACGTAGATATTAAGTATTTTATATAAAATATGTGTTATGTGTATATTTATTGTTTGTTATTTGAGATGGATGTTGAATGAATATTTTATACATGTTTAGAATGATTTAAATTGTATATGTACTTTTATCTACAAATATGTTGGGTATAACATGGGTAGATGAAATAGCTGATGTGTGATGAAATAAAATGATGAGATACCTCGAAGTTGTTGATGTTCCAGTCATCTAGCGGAGTATAGATGACAACCATAGATTTTTCTAGACAGTTCAGTGGAACGCTAGCAGGCTCGTAACCTGTAGGTGTTTTTGAACTAGGTGTTCATTAAGTATTTTCGAACGGAGTGTTCACTGGGTATTTTGATTTACGTGTTCACCAGTTGTAATCTAAATATCCTGGCAGCTGCGCCTATTGGATAGTATTGGCAGCTGTGCCTAATAGATACAACATAATCCTGGCAGCCGCACCTAAAGGATAATATCAGCAGTTGCGCCTAATAGAGAACGTCATAATCCCGGCACCTGCGCCTAGATGATAATATATTGGCACTCGCGCCTATAAGATAACATTGACAGCTGCGCCTAATAGATGATACTGGCACCTGCGCCTGGTTGAGAACAACACAATCCTGGCAGCTGTGCCTAAAGGATAATATTGACAGCTGTTCCTAATAGAGAACGTTGGCAGCTGTGCTATTGGCAACGATGGACTTTGTGTCTATTCCTTAGGACAATCCTTTGGAATGAATGAGTGAATGATAGATGATTCTTAGGGTGGAACCTTAAGAAAATGTAGAAGTATCCATTAAGCAGTGTTGTTACCCCGATGATGATCCTTAAGCTAGGTCCCATTTATTAGATGTTTAGGGACGTAAAGTGAGGATAACGGGAACGGGTAATCATGGTTATTGTTGATTGATTAAATTAATAAATTTATTGTTAGTTGATGAAAATTAATAAATTTATTTATTGTGGGTTGAAAACCCTATATGCTCACCAGGCTCCCAAGCCTTACCCACTCAGTTTTCTATATTACAGGTATGGAACAAGAGCATAGTTGGACGATGGCGAGGGATTTTGAATTATAGGCCAGTAGATATAAATAACTGTTGTAAGGCCTATATTGTATAGTTTATGCTTTTGGTCTGTATCGATATGGACATCCCGAGTTTTGTAATGAAATGAAAAATACATTTCTTTAAGAAATGCTTTGATAATTTTTTTATCATATTTTGTTTTGGGGACAAATTCCGCAACACCTTTTGAAAGATTACTCTGATTTTATTTTAAAAAGCATAAACGAAATCGGTCTTTTTTTGCCGTGAAAATGAGGATGTCACATTATCAGGTGTTGATGTACGGTAGCTCCGTACGGGATGACCAAAAGTGGTGGGTGTCAATTAGGAAACTGTTAGCAGTATGTCTGGTCACCCTAGAGTAGGTGACAACACTTGATCATTCTAAACGATCTTGTAAATTACGTTGCTAATGTGAGCTCATTACTCACAGACGTAGATGAATTTGAAAACAATATTCATCAAATACTCTGACAACTCATATGCCTTTATGACTTACACCGACAAAGGAAGCCCCTAGTTGTGTGTAGTCAGTCTTAACGATTCACCAGGCAAGATAACTTCTCTATGATAATCATTGTTTAGGATTTGTGAGGATTGATAGAAATGGATAGTCTAGGATATGTGAGGATCGATAAAAATGGATAGCCTAGGATATGTGAGAATCGATAGAAATGGTTAGTGTACGATTTGTAAGGATCAGCAGGAATGGATATGTAGGAATGGTTATTGTATGGTGACAGTTGATTTGCAGGTCTGATAATTATGGAATATTATCATATCAATATCATTGGATTGAAATCCCTATGTATCCCACCAGGTTTCCCCAACCTGATCTATTCAGTTTATATGCATCACATGTATCAAGACTTAAGCTAATAGAACTTGATTAGGATGATGAGTAATTAAGAGACAACCTGCAATAGTATTCAGGACCATCAAGTCTCTACGCTGTAACTTATATATCTATATTGATTATGACATCCTTAGGGTTTTAACATTTTGGAAACAAACATTTGTAATCAAAATGATCTTTTGTACTGAGATTTTCTGCAAATATAAATAAGTGATTTTAAAGCGTAAAAAAAAGTTTTAATTGGTTCTGAAAATTAGAGGATGTCACATATTGTCTTGCTTATTAAAACATGTTGATTTTTCTATATATTAACAAAGGTTGAGCCAAAATGTGAATATCATTTTCTTTACGACTTCAGAACATAATTTTATTTTTCTTTTCTTTCTTTCCGAATTAATAACACAATTATTATTTTTTCTATTTTTTTTCTTTTCTTTCCATTCTATTTGGAATCTTTTGGTTGACCCCTTTCCTCTTAGGCTACTTCTATTAGTGACAACCAAGTTTGTTATTAATAAAGTAAAAATATTGTTTTTGCGATAAGAGTCTCATGGTTGAGGAGTAGAATTTTAAACAAGATATCTAGGGCCCAAACCTTAAAACACCAACAACAAAAAAAATACCAGTGTTCCGTAAATGACCTCTTACATGACTTTAGGACGGGTTCATGTGGACCGCTCCGACCGAAGTTGAAATAGTAAGTGCAACATCACATATAAATTCACGCCACAATAATTTTCCCCTTTAACTAAGTTTTATAGTTACAAAGTATACATTATTCTTCTTTTAAGAATATAAAAAAGGGAAATTATTACTAGTGTAATCATCTTTGTCGTTTTGTTCATATTTAGACAACTTTTTTTTATATACATTTGACCATTTAACTTCTTATATGTGTTCACGTATCATCATTGTCACCGACTATAGCATGTGACAATGGTAATATGTGAACACATTTAACAAATTAAATTGTCAAATGTTTACAAAATAAAGTTGTCTAAATTTGAACAAAACGAAAAATTAATTTACCATGATAAGTCATTTTCCCCACTTTTAATAGCGATTTTATTTTTCATATTTGTTAATATTATTTTTTTCAAACGTTATTTTTAAAGTATTCATAATGTCTTAAATATTAATTAAATATTGATTACTTCTAAACTTCACTTTTTAATTAATAATTATGTTTTTATTTTGTAAAATATTTTATATAGCCTCTTATATTTTTTTTCCTTTTGTTTTTAAGCATTTACAATATTTTTAAAGTAAATACTATCTAACAATAAAATTAAATAAATTAAATATGTATCAATAAGTATGAAATGTCTTTAAAAAAATATTAGGTAGCAAATAAAAAAATAAAAAATCTATATAATGTAAATATTTTAAAATTATTACAACTTTTTAATTAGAAGTTTATACACTTTTAATTTTTTTAATACAATGTTTTAAACTAGTATTTAACGAAAATATTTTAAAATGTTATACTCCTATAAAAGTATTAAATTATCATAAAAAATTTATGAAACACTTTAAATATGTTGTAAAAGAATGTTTAGAAATACTTGTATGAAAAAGTAAAAAAAAAAGGTTAAAAACTTGTAAGAAAATTTTAAAACATTTGTAAAATATTTTGTTTAAAAGTGTTTGTATTAAAATTATATGAAAATATAAAAAAAGTTATACAAAAAAATTATAAGCAAAGTTTAAAATAATGTATTAGAAAAATTTATAGGAAAAAATATCATAAAAATATCGTAAGATATTATAAAAAGTCTTAAAATATTTACAAAAAAAGTTGTTCACATTTAGACAACTTTCTTTTTCAATACACATTTGACCGTTCAACTTGTTAAATGTGTTCAAATATTATCATTGTTACTTGCGATAGAATGTGACAATAGTAATATATGAATAACTTTAACAAGTTAAATTGTTAAATGTATACAAAAAAATTGCTTAAACGTGAACAAGACAAAAATGTAATTAGTGTGTGAAGTCATTTTTTCCATAAAAAAACAAAATTTATTAGAATTTATAATCTTTGTACGAATAAAGATTAGTTATGATATATTTTGATATTATTTTATAACAATAAAAAATTAAGTTGAACTCAATTGCGAATAAAATTTATAAATATCGTAGATAAAAAATGATTTGATTGGTTGTAAACTTGTAATACAAATGCCAAATTTACAAAATCCTGAAGGATGGGGGACTGAAATAGCAAGAGAGTAAAAGTTTTCAGCATATACACAACGAAAAACAGAGAGGAAAAACCCTAAACCCTAAAATCAAGAGCCTGTCTACCGTCGTCTTCCTTCCTCTACTACAATGGCGGTCGATGATCGATCGGAAGCAATCGTGAAGACATTCGCCGTAAAACCAAAACTCAAACCCACTACAAACAAATCCACCCCAACGCCGGAATCCAAATACTGGAAATCGTTTAAGCCAAAACAAACTCAAACCCTAGTATCATCCGTAACATCACTTTCTTTTTCCCCAACGGCTCCACATGATATTGCCGCCACCCACTCTGCAACTGTCACTATCTTTTCATCGCAAACCCTAGAGCCCAAATCAACTATCTCCTCCTTCAAAGACACCGCTACATCCGCATGTTTTCGTTCTGATGGCCAACTGATTGCCGCTGGTTCATATTCTGGTCAGATCCAAGTGTTCGACCCTAAGAAACGATCTGCGCTCCGGCGCCTCCGTGGCCACTCCCGCCCAGTCCATTTTGTCAGTTATCCTCGCGTTGACAAGCTCCATTTGTACTCCGGTGGTGATGATGCCGTAGTTAAGTACTGGGATGTTTCGTCGGAGATTTTGATTCATAATCTAATTGGCCATAAGGATTATGTACGTTGCGGTGATGGGTCTCCGGCAAGTGATGATATGTTTATCACGGGGTCATATGACCATACAGTTAGAGTTTGGGATGTTAGGGTATCAAATCAAGGAGCCATGATGAACATCAACCATGGAGCACCGGTAGAGGATGTGATTTACTTACCATCTGGTGGTCTAATTGCCACCGCCGGTGGAAATAATGTGAAAATTTGGGATGTGATTGGTGGTGGTAAGCTGTTGCATTCTATGGAAAGCCACAACAAGACTGTAACTTCACTATGTGTGGGGAAAATAGGGAAAGATAGTGGTGAGTTCTCAAATCAGTATCGGATTTTGAGTGTTTCATTAGATGGATATATGAAAGTATTCGATTATTCAACACTGAAGATCACCAGCTCGATAAGGTATCCATCTTCTCTCATGTCAGTAGCATTCTCACCAGATTGCACAACTAGGGTGATTGGTGCTTCAAATGGGATTCTATACGCAGGGAAGAGGAAAACTGATGAAAACCTGGGGTCTGTTAAATCTGAATGGGGAAAATACGTTGGTTTTGGAGCCATAGATGAGCCTGAGAAGAGAGTTCTAAGGCCTTCTTATTTTCGTTACTTCCATAGAGGCCAAAATGAGAAGCCTTCAAAAGGAGATTACTTGATCATGAGACCAAAAAAGGTGAAACTGGCTGAACATGACAAACTGTTGAAGAAATTTCATCACAAAGAGGCTTTAGTATCTGCTTTAAGAGCAAAAAACCCTGAAAACATAGTAGCAGTGATGGAGGAATTGGTGTCAAGAAAGAAACTATTGATGTGTGTTTCAAATTTGGGGATGGAGGAACTTGGGTTGCTTTTGAGTTTCTTACAGAGATACTCAACAATGCCAAGGTATGCTGGGGTGTTGATTGCATTGGCTAAGAAAGTTGTTGAAAACCGATCTGATGATATTAGTGGTTCAGAGGAACTAAAAGGCCATATTCGAAATCTAAAGAGGTCAATCATGGAGGAGATAAGAATCCAACAATCTTTGCAAGAAATACAAGGTATAATTTCTCCTTTACTGAAGATTGCAGGGAGAAGATAGTTGATAAATCTCATATGCAATTTTTGTTTCTCGTCTTTAGGTTTTGGGGTTTTAAAAAGTTCTACAATTTTGTTTGCCAGAAGTTAAATTGTTGTTTATTATTAAATTGTTGTATTTTGAGGGATATGGATGCTATTCTGTGACCTTATATTTTGTTTGATCCAATTAGAGGTGTTACTCTTAGTTTATTCAAATTCGGGTCAAGTTTATCATTCCTTTGCAAATTTACCCTTACATGGTGGTGATCCAATTGTACAATGTTTGGTAAAAGGGTTCTGACATAATCTTGACTAAGAAATAAGAACCCTACTTCGTTTTAAACCTTCAATATCTAGTTTGTAATATGGTCTTAAATTTTGAATCCAATCCAATGAAGACTCTTCCATAAATTTCCTTTAGTCAAAAAAAAAAAAAAAAGTCGTGTGTTCAAGGTGAAATTATACATGTGACAAGATTTGCAATTAAGGTTCTATAGGGCATGGTTTGGCCACTACCTGGGGCACCCCAAGCACTCACAAGAGAGAACATAGAAGAGGAGAAAAAGAGGAAGAGAATATAGAAAAGATTCAAAACCCTAACCCCATCCTTTACTAATAATGCTCCTCTCATCTGATTCTCTCAACCTCTAACAGGCACGAGAGCACAATTGCATCAAGAAGACACAAAACTCTAAGTCGATAAATCGCCTAGTTAATCCGTCAATAAGAAGCAAATAAGATAAAGCCTCTCATGTCCCGACGCAAGGAAGACAACAACACATTGGATTTGTTACATTTTATTTAGAATTGCTGAGAAATAAACTGAAACGCAAAACTGATCAACCCATGGGTTGAACTCAAAAACCCGACCCATAAACCCAAAAACCGATCAAAACTCAAATACCGAAATTATCGGTTTGGATTCGGTTTCACTCCAAAACCAACCTGTGCAGACCCCTAAAATTTGAGGAAAATACAATGTTGTATGTTATTAATTTTTTAATGGATATTATATATTAATAATTTAAAAGAAAAATGAAAATGGATAAGATATTGTTAACGGGTAAAATGGTTCATCAAAGTCATTTCGTGACTTTCGGTAGAAGATGTGTAGGGGATCATTACCCTTTAACATTTATTAAAAATGTATTAAATAATTACTAATATGTATATCGGGTCGAGGTTTGAGTCGGTTCGTTTAGTGGGTCGGTTTTAAATCCATATCAAATTTTTAGGTTTTGAAAAATCTAAAACTCAAAACCGACGGTTTGGTTTGGTTTCAATTTAATCGGTTTTTCGATTTCGCTTTTGCTCGACCATAGTTAAAAGTTAAAACAACTTGTGTGAATTAGAATCATGTCATTACAAGAAAAAAAATATAAAATAAAGAATATCATAAGAGATTAAGAGTGGATACTTTCATGATTGGCCCAAGAGAGAAAGGAATGTATCGGCCCGACACATGTAATGAATTTTTTTTTTTTGAACTAGCAAATGAATATATTGATAAAGCGACCCAGCAAGATGCTAGTCAGCGAAGGAATACAAGTAGATAACATGGAATGAATCACAACTTGGAATCTAGGATCTCAACTTTGCATCATAATTAATACCTCTTTAAGACCTGGGTATTGTTTGTTTTCTCTACAACTCTTTTTGGTCTGTTTTGTTTGCGTCATGTGGACATCAATCATACAATAGCACTTGCATATTGTTTGTTTTTAGAATACCGCAGACCTAAAAAAATATGTGCACCCTCTTCTTGAAAAGGACATTGACTAAAGTTTTCTCACATCTTCTAACTTAAAAAAAAACACATATATCTCCTTAACCATTGTATTTTTAAATGATTTCCAATAAATAAAAAAAAGGATTTCTAACTTAAAAAAAAAATACTAACACCATCAAAATCACTATTTTCATATTTTTTTCCTGCATTTTAACCGAAATTAAAATAAAATATAGATTAAACTTATTAAAAGTCAGTTATTGATTATTTAACTTATAATCAATAAAGCATATATACATAAAAAAAAAATTTTATTTAAATTTTAATGTTGAATTTTTTAAGTATAAAAAACAGTTTATTTAAATTTCAATTTATTTACTTTAGACGTTTAGTTCATCTATTTTTCTGCAGATGTGGTCCGTAAACTGCAGATATTTTACCTCTTAAAAAACAAAGAAAACCATGGTTATATTTCCGGTTAGTCAATAAGATATAGTTGTATTTACTTAGACCGGCACGATACTCACACTTCACATTTCACATTTTCTAGGTTGCCTCATCGCCATCTCATTTTCAGTCCACTTTCCTTCACTCTTCAAAACTTAAGAAATGATCACACTTCACTTTACTTCACTACTTGTATATAAAAATTTAATAATAAAAATGAAAATATTTAATTACTTGGATATAAAAATTTCATAATAAAAATAAGAAATCATATCTAAAATATAACAATGATTAAAATACTACATCACGCCGAGTTTTCTTTCCAAAACGTCACCAAAATCCTTGACGAACAAATTGGAATCTTCAAATCATTATGTAATCCTCGACCATAGGTTATATGTCAGTCTTGTAAATATGTTCCACCAAAGTTGGGCGAAGGGCTTGATTGATATAACAGTCATGTACTTCTCTTCTATTTGCCTTATATTGTTGCGTACCAATATCTACTCCTTCGAAAGTTGGCAATTTTTTGTTTTCATCGTAAGTTGGCTATTCGTTCTTGGTCCCACGGATCGCGCCAAATGTTGTGACATGTGCTCCAGTCGGGTCTTCTGTGTTGGATCCGGATCGGAGATCTGGGGGTGGTGTCGTTAGCGAGTTTCCGACGAGATACCTAAGCTGCCATCACTACAAAATCATTAGAGTTGCCCCATGGACTGTGCCCCAGGAGCAAGCTCCGACGATCAAGTTAGATCAGTTGGTAGAGATGAAATGATTCTCCCTAGCTGGAGAGAACCATCTTGATGTGTTGGGTGAGAGTTCGGCCATCGAGGCTCTAGGTAGAGAAGGTGACTAGAAGCTTGTTAGGAGTTGCCTCCTCATGGAGGAGGAAACATTCTATTTATATGGGACAATTAAGTCAAGGGAGAATTAGACCAGGCCTTGGGCCAGCCCAACTCAGGCCCAGTTAGCAAGGAGCTGGGTAAGAGCGCCCAGGCACCAGGCGCGAACGCTAGACAAGGCTGACAGGCAAGCGCCAGGAAAGTGTCAGGCAAGGCTGGCGCGTCAAGTCTTGACGTCTGGGCCATGCTAATGGACCATATGTTAACACGTCCCAAACATACTGATACAAATTTTCATTTTTAAATCATTAATTCCATACAACCATTTGTTTCAAAACTAGTCAGAGTAAACTATATTTTCCAAACATCAGAATAAAACAAATATAATCAATGTGGAAAAGCCATTAGGGGATGTTGTGCAGTCAAGTTGGGCCCTTCCCTTTGGAACTGGAAGTACCTGAAAAATGTTAAACCACAAATCGTAAGCACAAAGCTTAGCGAGTTCCCCAAAATACCACATATCATACATAGGATATGGAATGCTATGCGCCAAAGAGCAAAAAACCATTTGCATGTCTTAATGAATAAAGTCTCCGACTTTATCCATTTGCATGATCACAATGAATGTCTTAATGAATGTCTCTCAAACTCCCAGATACGATCTAAATGAATGTCTTAATGAATAAAGTCTCCGACTTTATCCATTTGCATGATCACAAAGAGCAAAAAACCAGAACCTAGGTCCATAAAGTTATCTATTGCTCAAGAACTCATGCATGGATGGATGAGAGTGCCTAAGCTCTCATTTTATGACTCTATAACCTCAAAAACATCAGAAGGAGGCACTCAAATGGTCTGGAGTAACCCATACTCACAAGAACCAAGATTAAGGGACAAAAAGCATAAAACCCATGAGCTAAATAGATCTAATAAATGGACCATCAAGATGAAAGCTTTATACCTTCTGGAAATTGGTTATGAAGTGAAAAGTCTGTATCTACAAAGCTTGGAGCTCACACTTGCTTCTCCAATGGACTCCTTCTTCAAGAATGCACCCAAAGTCACACTAGGGCTTCCAAAACTCATAGTTGATGGGTAGGGTTTCAAAGGAACGATTTGAGGTGATGGAGGTTGGTTATGGGAGGGCTTGGAAGAAGTTAGAGCCCTTAAATTGGGCCCAAAACCTTAGGGTTAGGGTTTTGGTCAGCAGCAGCTATGCCATGCGTAGCGTAATCTACGCCATACATATATCATTAAAGTCGCGATTCCCATTCAACTTCCACATCCTGCGTAGCTCCCCTATGCCCTGCGTAGGGAAAAACCCCTAACTTCCAATTCAACTTCAGCCATCCATAACTTCTTCGTTTCAACTCCGTTTGCAACGTTCTTTATATGAACGGAAAGGTATTGAAGAGCCCCACAATTATATCTAGTTACTTTTGGCTTACCACATGTCGAACGAAAACCATAATCCATGCAAGAAGCCTGGCATATAACTTTCCCCATTTTACCTTTTGGTACCAGCACGCGAATCAAGGGCTTCGATCTCATAACCAATATTATCATCCTTCAATAAGGTCTAAACATTACCTCCTTAAAACCCAAAGCCTTTACATGATCGAATTACGGTCCACAAACCCTGAATTAAAAAATTTCTCGGAACAGGGTGTTACAACTCTCCCCCACTTAAATCAGTTTTTGTCATTGAAATCATTCCTACTACTTCCCGTGCCACACCAGACGATCCTGCTCGAACTTCCTGAATTCCAATTCGGATTGAGAAGTCATCTCATACAGACGACCACCTTCAAACATTGCTATCAAAGCCCAGTCTTAGTAGAAATCACTTACCTTAACGAAGAAATGAACCTTAACACTCTGTCCTCAGCCAATGAAAGAAAATCCAACTGCTCTGCCTGAAAACTAAAAACCCTAAACCATGTATGGCTTCCCGAAAGACAGAAGTATCCCATCCCACATCCATAAAGACTCCAATCTGCATCCCGAAACATACAAAACCCCTTCTAACACCGAATACCTCGCTGACAACCGGAAAACAAAACCCCTGACCATTCACCGATGCCGACAACCTCGCACACGGTCGCACCACGAGACTCTAACCAAGAGTCTAACTGACAAAGGCTATCCTAGCATATTCACCCACACAGATCCAACATCCTTCTTGTCCAAACAAAGGTCAACATAACTAGCCAACACGAGCAATAACTAGTTCGATTCATTTTAGGTGAATGTTACTGGCTCAACCGTAGTCTTACATCACACCCATCCCTAAGTCGGCCTACTACATTCCTCAATTCTATGAATGATGTGGCCCTCCTACAGTCTCACAACCATCCCTGGAATGGTCTAACTCATCCTAGTGAAGGCTACTAGCCATATCGTATTCTTACAACACTCCCATAATTGCTTATCGACCTAGTGAATGCTAAAGGCCACCCCCACAATATTATAACATTTCCACAACTACCTTCCAACCAAGTGAATGCTACAGACCACCCCGTAGTCTTATAACACTTCTATAACTACCTACCAATCCAGTGAATGTTACGGGCCACCCCGTAGTCTTACAACTACCTAACAATCTAGTGAATGCTACGATCCACCCTGCAGTCTTACAACACTTCCATAACTACGACATGCCCATCCCATGGTTTCG